CAATATAGCCATGTATAAATATGTGAGAGGAAGCCACAGGGAGGAGGGAGCAAGCTTGTTTTCTGCTGCCCTGGAGACTAGGACGCGGAACAATGGCTTCAAACTACAAGAGAGGAGATTCCATCTGAACATGAGGAAGAACTTCCTGACTGTGAGAGCCGTTCAGCAGTGGAACTCTCTGCCCTGGAGTGTGGTGGAGGCTCCTTCTTTGGAAGCTTTTAAACAGAGGCTGGATGGCCATCTGTTGGGGGTGCTTTGAAAGCAATTTTCCTACTTCTTGACAGGGGATTGGACTGGATGGCCCATGACGTACCTAATTTTCCTACTTGACAGATGCAACTGTCTTTTGGGTTTCAAAGGTCGACAACAAGCTACACAATTGTTCGGAAGCTCACTCCGACCCAAGCTTACTCCCAAACAATTAGTCATCATATTTTTTTTTAAAAAAAATCTGATATCCACATGGCAGAAAGCAGGCAAGCCATAAAGTAGCTTTAATCTTCCAATTACCAATTGAGGGGGAGGGTTACTAACAAAACAACTATTGGCAGCTTGCCAGGACTGAATTTTACACACCAGAAAACATGGTATCCAATCCAAGGATTGTCCGGCCATGGATGCAAGCGCCCTTTGAAAGCAACCATAAGGCTGAGAGGACCCTTGATGAAAATAAGCTTGACACTCCTGAGTTAGAAATAAAAGGAAGCATTTTTTCATGGTTCTGTATTGGAGCAGGAGGTTATGGGAAACACAATTTCCAGCGGGCGCCGTACCTAAAAGCTGATATGCCAAGACACCTAAGAATCGCTTTTACCAGGGCAAGATTTGAACAAATTGAATCCATGGAGAGACATGGCAGATTCAATCATATCCCATATGAAGAAAGACTATGTATCTGTGGCACCCCTGAAGCTGAAAATCTGAACCACATTTTACATCACTGCAATCTATATTTAAAAGAAAGGAAAATATTTATGGTCTTTTATTTGCAATAAAATAAGCTGGGATACAGCAGCCAAAACCTCATTTTTGTTGGCTGGTTACAACCCCATTCTGTCAACAAGAGTTGCCCTTTATTTGTTTAAAGCTGCTAAAAGGAGATCAGAGTTCATAGATCAGATTGGGGTGCAATGGATAAACGCCTAAACTACATTGGTTTTAAGTTGATAAATTCCTATATATTTGTTTTCTATTTTAATAGAATAGGACCAGACATATGTTGTATGTTGTGTTTGCACTGCCTTTCACCTTAAGAACAGACAAGCATCCCGAGCTCTGAGGATTACCTGGGAAGGAATCCCACTGGAGCATTGCAGCGCACCCAAATACCTGGGAGTCACCCCCAACCGTGCTCTGACCTACAAGAAGCACTGCCTGAATATCTAGCAAAAAGTGGGATAAAAACAATATCATACAAAAGCTGACTGGCACAACCTGGGGATCACAACCAGACACAGTGAAGACATCTGCCCTTGCGCTATGCTACTCTGCTGCTGAGTATGCATGCCCAGTGTGGAACACATCTCACCACACTCAAAAAGTAGATGTGGCTCTTAATGAGACATGCCACATTATCACAGGGTGTCTGCGCCCTACACCACTGGAGAAATTACACTGTTTAGCCGGCATTGCAACACCTGACATCTGCTGGGAAGTAGCAGCCAATAGTGAAAGGACTAAGGCAGCGACAGCTCCACCTCATCCCTTGTTTGGGTATCAGCCAGCACGTCAATGACGTAAATCAAGAAATAGTTTTCTAAGATCTACAGAGACACTTGCTGGAACACCTCAGCAAGCGAGAGTCCAAAAGTGGCAGGCTCAAACCCAGAACCTCAACCAATGGCTGATACCCAATGAGTGACTCCCCCCTGGGCACACAGAAGACTGGGCGACATGGAAGGCACTGAACAGACTGCGCTTTGGCACCACAAGATGCAGAGCCAATCTTAAGAAATGGGGCCACAAAGTGGAATCCACAACATGCGAGTGTGGAGAAGAGCAAACCACTGACCACCTGTTGCAATGCAACCTGAGCCCTGCTACATGCACAATGGAGGACTTTCTTGCAGCAACACCAGAGGCACTCCAAATGGCCAAATACTGGTCAAAGGACATTTAATCAACTACCAAGCTTGCAAATTTTGTGTTTTGTCTGTTTGTTTTGTTCTGTTAGAAATGTAATACAATTGTCTGGCTGCCCCTGACACGATAAATAAATAAATACTGTCTCTTTTTGATATGGCCAACTGGCTAATCAATAAAAATTGTTGTTGTTGTGTTGTTGTTGGGAAACCTATGTCCTCAGTAACAATGTTCATATTGTCTACGTGCTAGCAGACTGAAGGTGAATCCAGCGAAGACTGAGATCCTATGGCATGGCCGCCCAATAGGTCCGTTACCTACCTTTGATGGTGCTGCTCTATCTCCATCGCCTACTGTTAAGAGCCTAGGTGTCGTTTTGGATTCGCAGCTGACGATGGAGGCTCAGGTTGCTGCCACCAGCAAACAGGCCTTTTTCCATCTACGACAAGCGAGGCAACTGGCACCTTACCTGTCGGCAACAGCCATCCATGCCATGGTCACATCTAGGCTAGACTATTGTAATGCCTTGTATGTTGGCCTTCCTATTTCTACGACCCGAAAGCCCCATATTGTCCAGAATGCTGCAGCCAGGTTACTTAGAAAAACACCCATGAAATGCCATATAACACCAGTGCTGCGGCATCTACACTGGCTCCCAATTGAGTATCGTGGTTTGTATAAGATGCTGGTCCTGACCTTTAAAACTTTATATGGCTAGGGTCCATTGTATCTTAGAGACCGTCTCTCCTTCTCCCATCATCGGAGGTCGCCATGACCATCCCAACGCGATTTGCTCTATATGCCGGGTCCTAGGGAAGTGCACTTGGAGAGCACCAGACGCAGGGCCTTCTCTGTTTCTGCCCCTGCCTTATGGAATTCCTTGCCTCCCTATTTGAGAGCCATGCATGACTTAGGGCATTTTATCTTAGCACTTAAGACCTGGCTTTTTACTAGAGCATTTGACCCATGTTAATTTTAATATTTGTATGTATGTGTTTTATCCTGTATAATTTCTGCAGTGTAAATCGCCTGGAGCATCTCGGATGGAGGGCAATTAATAAGTAATTAAAGATGATGATGATGATGATTTTAATTTTATAAACTTATTTGTACCCCGCTAGCATCTCCCAAGGGATTCGATGCGGCTTACAACAGGCCGGAGCCCAACACAATACAACAATACAGTACATAGCAAATAAAACAGTTAAGCAGAAAACAATAAAACAATAGCAATACAACAAGACATTATTAAAACTGAGCCGGCCGGAGTAGGGGTACAGGATTAAAAAGTGCTGATGTGTCGGAGGGATATGGGATTAAAATATAAGTGCAGTGTGCAGTGAGCGGTGATCTTGGTTCTACTAAAGTGCTTCTGGGATTTGGTAGTGGGTTCCTAATCTGAAAAGGCACGTTGGAACAGCCAGGTTTTCAGATTCTTTCTGAAGACCGCCAAAGTAGGGGCTTGTCTGAGATCTTTCATTCCAGAGGTGGGGGGCCACCACAGAGAAGGCCCTGTCTCGTGTCCCCACCAAACGTGCCTGTGATGCGGGCGGGATCACGAGCAGGGCCTCTCCTGATGACCGGAGTGAGCGTGTGGGTTCGTAGACAGCGATGCAGTCACGCAGGTAGGGTGGTCCCAAACCGTTCAGGGCTTTGTAGGTAAGCACCTGCACCTTAAATTGGGCTCGGAAAATAAACGGCAGCCAGTGGAGCTCCTTAAACAGGAGGGTTGACCTCTCTCTTTAAGGAGTCCCAGTTAACATCCTGGCTGCTGCCCGTTGGACCATTGGAAAATAAACGGCAGCCAGTGGAGCTCCTTAAACAGGAGGGTTGACCTCTCTCTGTAATGGGCCCCATGATGATGATGATGATGATGATGATGATGATATACTCCATACATACAGGCAGGCTACTAGACTGACAGACACAAAATTCAAGGAGTGAGGGATCTTTGGTTGACCAGGGAAACAGCTGCATCAACCTCCTTCTTGGGGGTGCGGCGGGAGGAAGACTCCCCTCGCTGCTCCAGAAAGAAGGAAGGAAGGAAGGAAGGAAGGAAGGAAGGAAGGAGGAAGGAAGGAAGGAAGAAAGGAAGGAAGGGTGACGCCTGGCTCGAGAGCAGTACGTGTGAAAAAGATCTTGGAGTCCTCGTGGACAACAAGTTAAACATGAGCCAACAATGTAATGTGGTGGCAAAAAAAGCCAATGGGATTTTGGCCTGCATCAATAGGAGCATAGTGTCTAGATCTAGGGAAGTAATGCTACCCCTCTATTCTGCTTTGGTTAGACCACACCTGGAATATTGTGTCCAATTCTGGGCACCGCAATTCAAGAGAGATATTGACAAGCTGGAATGTGTCCAGAGGAGGGCGACTAAAATGATCAAGGGTCTGGAGAACAAGCCCTATGAGGAGCGCTTAGGGAACTGGGCATGTTTAGCCTGAAGAAGAGAAGGCTGAGGAGATATGATAGCCATGTATAAATATGTGAGAGGAAGCCACAGGGAGGAGGGAGCAAGCTTGTTTTCTGCTTCCTGGAGACTAGGACGCGGAACAATGGCTTCAAACTACAAGAGAGGAGATTCCATCTGAACATGGGGAAGAACTTCCTGACTGAGAGCCGTTCAGCAGTGGAACTCTCTGCCCCGGAGTGTGGTGGAGGCTCCTTCTTTGGAAGCTTTTAAACAGAGGCTGGATGGCCATCTGTCAGGGGTGATTTGAATGCAATATTCCTGCTTCTTGCAGGGGGTTGGACTGGATGGCCCATGAGGTCTCTTCCAACTCTTTGATTCTATGATTCTAAGTAAGTAAGTAAGTAAGGAAGGAAGGAAGGAAGGAAGGAAGGAAGGAAGGAAGGAAGGAAGGGGGAAGGAGGGGGGAAGGAAGGGGGAAGGAAGGGGGAAGCGGGGAGGAGGGTGTGTGTGTGTGTGGGAGAGAGAGGGGGGCTGCCCTCTGCCGCCATCCCAGGCAGGCGCTTCTTTCAGCACCATGGACAGCAGGCGGGGGAAGCCCCCGAAGAGCCGGTGTTAAAAGGCGTCAGTGCAGTCGTTCCCAGAGAGAAGGAGGGGTGGCGAATCGGAATGCGAGCCACGAAGCCCAGCTCTCCTCTCCCTTTCCAAGCACCCCTTTCGCAGTCCTGAGCAGCAGCTGGGCTGAAGGCATCAAGAGCCAGGTAGGAGCCGCCGCCGCAGGAGCAGCAGCCAAGCAAGGTGCCCCTACCAGCCCAATTGCGCAGCGCTACGAGGGCAGGATCTGGACTCCCCCCTCCCCGCCTTTCCTGTCCTCTAGCTCTGCGCTGCTCCATCCTTCACGTCGGAAACTACCCGTGCCCCCATTCCACCTTGTCAGGAGAATGCTGGCAGGGATGCCAGGAGGGCTCCTCTATCGCTCCATCGCCTTGGTATAAAAATCCCTCTGCCCTGCCTTTCCTTGCAGGGACGTGTCTTTTGGCATTAGCCCGATGTGACTTTCCCAGCCCCCCTCTGGAAGCATGGGGATCATTTGGGCTTACCTTGGATTCCTTTTCTGGTCGATATTAAACATTCAGGAGGGACTTTCTTCTCAAGGTAAGATCCTTGCTTCTTATATGTTTAATTTGTTTTCATGGAGGCATCATACGAAAGAATGGAGTGTTGGGGAGGGGCAGGCCCGTAGCCAGGATTTCGTTTCGGGGGGGGGGGGATTTTTTTTCAGGGGGGGGTTCGGGGGGGCTGAGTTTCGGGGGGGGGCTGAGTCTGAGTGAAAGGGGGTCTAGCCTAGCAAACCTTTTGTATCATTACCCCAATACCCCCATGCATATGGGATATATTGAGTATGGTGATCAGATCATGATATGAATAAACATAACAGTTTAAATAATGCACCAGTAAGGCCTTCTCGCGAACCACCATGAGAATTTCGGGGGGGGGGGCTGAAGCCCCTCAAGCCCCCCCCCCTGGTTACATGCCTGGGGAGGGGGATGGAACCGATGCATGGTTTTTTGCCTTTGCCTTCAACCAGTGGCAGACTGGGTCCAAAAATATTGGTTGTCAGTTATAGTATTAGATTTTTCAAACTACTAAAAAGTAATTAATATTGTTATTTATTTATTTACGACATTTATATGCCACCCAGGCATGTAGTCAGGGGGGGGCTCGGGGGGCTTCAGCCCTCCCTGAAATTTTCATGGTGGTTCGTGAAAAGGCCTTACTGGTGCATTATTTAAACTGTTATGTTTATTCATATCATGATCTGATCACCATACTCAATATATCCCATATGCATGGGGGTATTGGGGTAATGATACAAAAGGTTTGCTAGGCTAGACCCTCTTTCACTCAGACTCAGCCCCCCCCCGAAACTCAGCCCCCCCGAAACCCCCCTGAAAAAAATTCAGCCCCCCCCCCGAAACGAAATCCTGGCTACGGGCCTGATGCCACCCTTCTCACCCCAAAGGGGACTCAGAGCAGCTTACAAGATACACACACACACACACAATATGTTATATTATTAGCATACTAATAATAATATTATATTTTATATAATATATTATATTATTAGCAACAGTCATCCATGCCACGGTCACATCTAGGCTAGACTATTGCAACGCCTTGAATGTTGGCCTTCCGATGTCTACGACCCGAAAGCTCTGTATTGTTCAGAATGCAGCAGCCAGGTTACTCACAAGAACGCCCATGAAATGCCATATAACACCAGTGCTACAGCACTTACATTGGCTTCCAACTGATTGCCGTGGTCTGTATAAGATGCTAGTTCTGACCTTTAAAATTCTTTACGGCCAGGGTCCATCGTACCTTAGGGACTGTCTCTCCTTCTCCCATCATCAGAGGTCGCGACAACCAGCCCAACGCGACTTACTCTGTATACCGGGTCCTAGAGAAGTGCACTTGGAAAGTACCAGGTGCAGGGCTTTTTCTGTTTCTGCCCCTGCCTTATGGAATTCCTTGCCTCCCTATATGAAAGCCACGCATGACTTAGGGCTTTTTACTTAAGACCTGGTTTTTTACTAGAGCATTTGATCTATGTTAATCATTAATTTCTGTATGTATGTATTTTTATCTTTTACAATTTAGCTTGTAAATCACCTAGAGCATCTCAGATGGAGGGTGATTAATAAGTAATTAAATATGTTGATGATGATGATACTACAATATCAGTATATATATATTACTATATTGTACTACACCATTATATTGTAATATTATTAGAAATATTACATGTAATATAAAATATATAATTATAATATATTATTAGTAGTAGTATTATATTGTATTACATTATAATATTATAAATATTATATGTATATACAATATATTATATTATATTATATTATATTATATTATATTATATTATATTATATTATTAGCATAGCACAGGAGACAAGGTAGAACTCAGCACTCTGGCCCAGAGCAGCACTTTACCTGTTATCCATGGTTTCAGATATTAGTTAAGGATCTTGGATTGTATCTCACATAGATACTGGGGTTGTACTGTACAGATAAGCTGAAGATTTGTTATAGGTAGTTTGAGTGTAGAATGAAGGCTGAGGCACAGACACAAAATGCTGCTCCATAGTTGTCTGCCAAAGATAGATAGATAGATAGATATAAAATAAATAAATAAAATTTAAAAAGAAAAGAAATAAAATGTTACTTCTTGTTAATATTAACATATTGTTAATATGTTGTCTATTTTTTTCGGGGGGGGGGGTACATCTGCCATTGGGAGAGAAGGGAGAGGAGAGAAGGTAGAAGTTCCCCTGAAATGAATAAGAAAGAGCCTCTCATATCTGGTTTGCCAACTCCAGGGCAACTACTGGGAGCTACAGTGTTGTTTTTGCATTCATATTATTTTTCTAATGACTTATGAGGGAGCACAAAGCTATCCAGTGTGTCTCTTCAATCCTTATTTGCCACAAAACCTATGGTGAGAGCATTTACCCATAGCCCTTAAATAGGGCAGCCTTTTCCTGTTCTCCCTATGCACAAGCTTTGGCTTCCCTGTGCCTTTCTAGAAAGACTAGCCCATAGCAATCCCCCATCATCCTCTGAAGGCATCTCTCCCATTCTAAGTAGCCCCCAGCTCTGCAGAATCCCCCCAATGGTTTGAGACTTGGAAGATATCATGTCAACACCATGAACAGATTACAGAGGTGGAAGGCTTTCCATCAAAGCTTTCTCCTGCCTTTAATTTCAATGTCATAGAGCCCTCCTTTGCTTATTTATTTAACTGTGATGTGATGGCGAATGAGATGGGCCAACAGGAATGGGATGAATAGGTATCAGTATGAATACATAGGGAGGTTAAAAATGGAAAACACATATTGTTGTGTAGGAAAAAGAATTTCCCCAATTTTAAAAGCAAAAATCTGTATCTGCTTTCAGTATTTCAGATATTAAGGCCAATTATTTCTCCCTCCTCCTCCTCCTCCTCCTCCTCCTCCTCCTAATACCATCACTGTGAGCCCCATACATAATCTCACACATATGCATGAAAGCTTGTTACAGCCTTTTCAGTCTGCTTCCTATCAACCTGTAACCAGTTCTAGAACTGAAAGAAGTAGAAAAACTGGTGAACACTTGCCTCTTTCTCTGTCTTATCTAATCACTGTTAAAAACGGAAGGGATCATTATTAGTGCCTGTCTTTTGAATGAAGATTTCATATGTCTATAAAGTTCCCTGTATAAATAGAGAGTGCATAAGGGAGGGAGGTTATGGACTACTTGCTACTGAGATCAATATTATTCTGATATTCCAAAATATACTGTAATGATCCATGTCTGGTATTATGTGAAACTGGATGCAAGAACCATACTGGAATGGTAGGACTAAGCAGAAGAGGGAAAGTATTTCTAGTTTGTTAATCTCCTGGATTAAAATATTTTCCTAGCTTGGCATTGCAAGCAAAAGGAGAGAGAGTGACATAAAAAAGGAACCACACAATAATCTGGAAAATGTCTATTATGAAAAGCAGTTACTTTAAACTTTAAACATTTCAGACATTTTCCAACAGAAGAAGCAAAAGCTTCTATTTTAATAAGCTTCTGTGTGCCTTGTAATTCACAGGCTAGAGACACAGATATTAAACACTGTAAATTATCTGTGAAGGATTCTTACCCAAGTTCTGGATTCCTATGATTACTGATATATTGCCTTCTAGATAATATTGCTAATTTAATTAGCTAAAGCTTTAAACACACACCTACACAGACCCTCAATGTTGGGGGGTTCCATTAGTGTTACTAGTTGATACATGTAACTGTGAAAGGAAGCACACATATGCATGCACGCACACACACACACTGTGGTGGGCTTCAGCAGAAGGCAACATAGCTACACCCCCCTTCCATGTTGGTAAAACATGGAAGCAGGTGTGAAATAGGAGAAAAAGAGACAAGACTATCGTCCTGGGCACAGTTATCTGGGAGTAAGCCTCATTTAACACACAAGGCATGTATATCCAGAAAACATATGTGTGAATCCATGTTTATTGGTAAATAAGCCCCTGTGAATTTGATGGAATTGACCACCAATTCCAGTACAGTACAATCTTAAGAGAAATGAAATCGGTGAAAGATAAACGACAGAGATGATGTAGACGAAATTGGGGAGTTAGATTCCAATAAGATCTGTTTTTCTTTTGCAGCCAAATTTACTGAATTCCCTCGAAATATCACAGCAACCGAGGGCCAGAATGTGGAGATGTCTTGTGCATTCCAGAGTGGCTCTGCCTCAGTGTATCTGGAAATCCAGTGGTGGTTTCTACGGGCAGCTGAGGACCAGGAACCGGGAGCTGAGTTGATGGGCACTCAGGTATCAGTTTGCAGCCCCTGAAATCCTGTGCAAACCAGGAATTCCCAAAGGCGATCTTGGGTCCAAAAAAAGTGCTGAATTTTCCCCAAAAAGCTACCGATAATGATAAAAATGCAGCCACTACTGGGGAAATAAAACCTTGAACCCTTCACTTCATTTTTGTTGAAAGCCCAGTGAATTCCTGTGCATGGCTCATGTATCTTTCACCAAGAAGGTACAATGAGGATAAAAAATATTGGGAAGGGCTTCAAATTAATTTGTAACTTTAGCTGTCACTAGTAAACTAGACCTCCCATTAAGAAGCCTGGTTGCTGTAATCCTGTCACTTCAGGGAATCTCATTACCTCCCCATTGTTTGTTTCGGGCTGATAAACACAGAGAACAAATTTTGTCTTGCCAACACTCCATGCAGCAATTTACTGCATTTGAAATTTCTGGAAACATCACTTCATTTGACTCTGTTGTATTAATCTGCTCGCTTTCTCATTTGGCAAGAAAGAATCACCATGGTTTCAGATTTTTTTTTCTTCTTGTCTCAGGGAGAAAAATCCAGTATTTTCTATCATTTATCTCGTTTCAGTCTTCTCAGCCATCCGGCAAAGTTTTTATGTTATGAAATCTCAGGGTGTCCGGGAAGCTTCACATTTCATAATTTTATCATTAGCAATGAAAGCATATGAAACTATTATCTTGTTTGGAATGGTCCTCTGGGTGTATACAACAGTCAGCAAGGACAGGCATTGAAGAAAATTTGAACTGCTTTGCTCCTAATCAGGCTATAGCGCACTGTCTAGCTGAGACAGGAAGGGATGCTTTTCTGCCTATAGATGGCAGGGTGAGCTTGTGAGTTCTTTTCCAAAGCAGATTCCTGGATAATGAACCAATAATACCATAGTAATTTCTCCTTGTAGACTTCACTGCTATGGACTTTTGCACATGTCCATATTCTCTTGTGTTGTACCCATGAGGGTATGAATATATTGTTTAATAAATAAATAAATAAATAAATAAGCAGTTGTGAACCAGACCAGCATTCAGTGTATCACAGGGATGCCCTGTGGAACTGCTAGAATGTCCAGCTACCTTATATCTTATTTTGGCAAAACTGCAAATAGCAACTATTTGAAGGGAATTCTAAATGAGATCCTATATGAGTTGATGACGATGATGATAATAATAATAATAAGTTTATTTGGACCCCGCCCTATCTCTCCAAGGAGACTCAGAATGGTTTCTAGTAAAGAAGGCAAACATTCAATGCCGATAACATACAAACAGCATATAAGATCAAAAACAATAAATATCACAATATAAAACTGCAATGTTAGTGGCAATAAATGATTTTTGCCACCTTCATTGCCATGAAATAGGCTTTTAAATGAGCTCCAGACCATGCTCAGTTGGATTTGCTATGAGTTCCGTGTCAATGCTGTTCTAGTTTCTTTCACTTGCTTCATTGTCGCTAGCTTCCTGGAGTACCAGAGAGCTGATTCAGCTCTGCTCTGTGAAAGGAGACATTTGGGAGTGATTGTGTCAGCTGCCCTGGCCACCTCCAGAGGTCTGCCAGAGCTTCAACAGAATTGCCTTCTGAAGAGGCATGAAAATCCCCAAGAGCCATCAAGAAACCATCAGAATTCATAAGCATCCTGGGGCGGACCTTCCTAGTTGGCTCTCAACCCCTGCAGAGGTTTAGAGCCCCAGTAAGTCTAAACCTGACCAGGTCGTGATCGGTCCATGACAAAGTTCCTCCATAATACCATCACCATCATCCCGCCCCAAACAGAAGAGCAGGTCCAGTGTATGTCCAGCACTATGGGTGCGGCCAGAAACCATTTGGGACAGATCCATGGTTGTCATGACAGCCATGAAGTCCTGAGCCACTCCCAACAGGGAGGTCTTGGTGTGAATGTTGAAGTCCCCCAGCACAACTAGCTGTTGGGACTCCAACACCACCATGGCTAGCTCTGGCAGGGAGACTGTTGAGCTGTGGGGTGGACAGAACACCAACAGAATCCCTGTTCTGTTCTGGCTGCTCACACTTAGAGATAGACACTCTCAAATGTGGTCAACCGACCAGGTGGATGGAATCTCTATAGATCACTGCGACTCCTCCTTCCCAACTCTGGGACTTGCCTGCTGCTGCATACAAAAAAGTTGAGAGAAATTCACCCCCTCCCTTCGTCCAGCCAGGTCTCAGTGATGCAAGCCAGGTTGGCATGCTCATCCAAGATTAGATCAATGCTCATTAAAGATTAGAAATAATGGTCTAATGCCCTCTACTCCATACCATGTACCTGATCTGCTTTTCCCTCTCCAACAGCTTGGAAGATCAAAATCACCACCTTGCAGACCAGGCTAAGCATCTGACAGAATATTTTATTTTGGTTGACCCTGCATTCATTCCTGTTAATTTTTTCCAAGGAATGTGTACATCATTCGGTGGGATAAATTATCAGGGTGAGCCACATTTACAAAATAAATTCCATGATGATGCCAATACAGATCCATTCCAAATGGAGGTGAAAGCCAGAGAGTCTAGAGTTCATACTGCAACAGCTGCAGGGAAAGGGAGTGTCTAAAATCAAGTAGCCAAACATGTACCATTCAGAATTTTCTGCATAATTTTGAAACTGATTATTGGTATCTGCTCTCAATGAACTTTCTATTTCATGTAGGCATGGATAAATATAGAGCCAACTTTCTCCTTAATAGCTAGTTACTCACACCGTCAAATTCAACATCAGATCAATGCTGGTTTACCGATTGCCTTAAAACACACAGCAAAAAGCTTAGGGATTAGAGCCAGATAGGAATGCCTGGGGGTTCAAGAAAAGGTTTGAGACCAATAAACTACAAAGCTGCCACACTTTCTCCCCTTTTAAGAAATATGCATGCAAAATAACCAGCTCAGACAGAGAGATAAAGTAAAAAGCTTTACTTACAAACTTGCATGATGTAATCTTATACAGGTAACAAGTTCCTTGGTTACAGCTGGAGTAATGAATCAGGCCTTAAGGTGGTGAGCAAGCAGTCTTTCCTCCAGTTACATTTCAGCCAAAAACAAAGAACCAAAGGGTAGCAGAGGGAGAAAAGAAGCAAATGGGGGGAACAAGTCATTCTCTTCCTCTGCTAAAATAACCCCCTCCTTCTCAAACACAGATGACTATTCCCTCCATCCCTGGAGCATATACACTCTGGACCTGCTTGGCTATATTCTATACAGAATTTTTTTGACAGGAAGATATTCCTGGGAATGAATTTGCCTCTTTGCTTTCTGTAATTTTTTTACCTCTGTAAACAACAGCATTATATACTTTTCCCCCTTTCCTGCTGAGTTGCTGCTATTTATCAAGTAGCTAAAAGGACTGAAGGGGAAGTCAGGAGACTCTTAAACTGTTAAGAGCCCACGCCCTCTTTCATATATTTTTTGTTACATCTTCATAAAGTAATACATGAGATCAATAGGTACAATTCTGTCTAAATGGCATCACCATGTTGTCACCTAAAGGTTATCTGAAGTCATTATAGTTCCATGTCAAACTTAGATATTGGAGAACAAAACAAGCACTTAATAGGAACATGAAAGGCCTCCTCCTGATTTCTCTTGATATTCACCCAACTGTTTCAAGGCATGGGGCAGGATTAGATGGCTCTGTATGGGCTTATTTGGATAAATATAATTCACACACCCACAAGCACACACACACAAATGCACACGCGCACGCGCACACATGCTGTACCGGCAACGCATTGCTGTGGCCCAGTCTGGTTAAATGGAAAAGAAAGAAATGAGAAAGAGCTAGTTTCTAATAGATGCAATTTCATAATGCTTGTGGGTATACAATATTTTTTGTTGTTCCATTGTCTGTGAAATAATAAAAATAATGGTATAAATAATAATAATACTGGCCTATATAATCTATATAATAATACTGGTGTATAGAATAATGATAATAATAACAACGATACCGGTCTATATAATAATGATCAGTGTATTTTGGGGAAACCCTTTCCTTTCCTTCTCTCCTATCTATCCCTTCCTACCATTCAATCCTTCCTTCCTTTCTGAGCATCCAGTCTTCCTGGAGGCACAGGCGTCAGGCAGTGCTGGGCACGGTGGTGCATTCCATGTCCATTTGCAATGTGGTGACTATTATTACATTAATCTTCCATTTTCCTAAAAGAAGGCTGGTTTGTCTGCCCTTGCCTTTGGATGCAAGGGAGATGATCAATGGAATATATCAGTTGTGCATAAGGAAGGAAGGCTAGGGCCCAAATCACTTAGCAATCACACCCTGTAGCTCATAGTCATCCTTGTTGATGGACCAAGGCAAAGAGCTGGATTCCTCAGCAGCAGGAGCAATGGCAAGGACAGCTGCTCCTCCAGCTCCAAAAAGAGAGCAAAGGCTGAAGCTGGCCAGGTTTGTTCAAAGCAATGGAGGGTAGGAGAAGGAGGGCTTGCCTAGCTGCTGACTCCTCCTCTTCCTCAGCAGTGACACTAACCTCCAGCGTCCACTTTCTCCTCTGACTAACAGCAGCCAAACTTAGCCCTACTTTTCCCACCTGCCCATGTCCAGAAGTGCCATGATGTTAGACATACACTGGCAGCACATGGATGTGACACAGGTGCCATCTTGGGCATGTCTCCACAGCGACCCACTGTCAGTGCCGTGTCGCCCATTCAGCCCATGTTGGAGGAAAACACTTCACTCCCTTTCTCTTCAAAAATATAGATTAGACTGTAGTGGTCTGGCTGGTCACAAACTTTGGAAGCAATATGGCACCACACACAAGATGGCGAAAGGGGCGCCTTGGCTGATGGAAAAGACATCCCCCCCTCCTTATTGGGAGGGTGGGAACATGTGCTTGATCTTGATTAGAGGAAAGGTGATGTGAACATGGATGTCTTTATACGTCATTGGGTTGTCCAGCTCTCAATCATGCTGGAACCTCAAATTGGGGTGGTTTTACCTGCCTCAGGTGTGACATCTATATATTAG